CAGGTTCTGCTCAGGTTCTATTTAGGTTCTGTTCAGGTTCTGTTCAGGTTCTGTTCAGGTTCTGTTCAGGTTCTGCTCAGGTTCTGCCCAGGTTCTGTTCAGGTTCTGCCCAGGTTCTATTTAGGTTCTGCTCAGGTTCTGTTCAGGTTCTTTTCAGGTTCTGTTCAGGTTCTGTTCAGGTTCGGCTCAGGTTCTGTTCAGGTTCTGTTCAGATTCGGTTCAGGTTCTGCTCAGGTTCTGTTCAGGTTCTGTTCAGGTTCTGTTCAGGTTCGGTTCAGGTTCTGCTTAGGTTCTGTTCAGGTTCTGCCCAGGTTCTATTTAGGTTCTGTTCAGGTTCTGTTCAGGTTCTGCCCAGGTTCTATTTAGGTTCTGCTCAGGTTCTGTTCAGGTTCTGCTCAGGTTCTGTTCAGGTTCTGCTCAGGTTCTGCTCAGGTTCTGCTCAGGTTCTGTTCAGGTTCTGTTCAGGTTCTGCCCAGGTTCTATTTAGGTTCTGCTCAGGTTCTGTTCAGGTTCTGCTCAGGTTCTGTTCAGGTTCTGTTCAGATTCGGTTCAGGTTCTGCTTAGGTTCTATTTAGGTTCTGCTCAGGTTCTGTTCAGGTTCTGTTCAGATTCGGTTCAGGTTCTGCTCAGGTTCTGTTCAGGTTCTGTTCAGGTTCTGCCCAGGTTCTATTTAGGTTCTGCTCAGGTTCTGTTCAGGTTCTGTTCAGGTTCTGCCCAGGTTCTATTTAGGTTCTGCTCAGGTTCTGTTCAGGTTCTGCCCAGGTTCTGTTCAGGTTCTGCTCAGGTTCTGCCCAGGTTCTGTTCAGGTTCTGCCCAGGTTCTATTTAGGTTCTGCTCAGGTTCTGTTCAGGTTCTTTTCAGGTTCTGTTCAGGTTCTGTTCAGGTTCTGCTCAGGTTCTGTTCAGGTTCTGTTCAGGTTCTGTTCAGGTTCTGCTCAGGTTCTGTTCAGGTTCTGTTCAGGTTCTGTTCAGGTTCTGTTCAGGTTCTGCTCAGGTTCTGTTCAGGTTCTGCTCAGGTTCTATTTAGGTTCTGTTCAGGTTCTGTTCAGGTTCTGCTCAGGTTCTATTTAGGTTCTGTTCAGGTTCTGTTCAGGTTCTGCTCAGGTTCTGTTCAGGTTCTGCTCAGGTTCTGCTCAGGTTCTGCTCAGGTTCTGTTCAGGTTCTGTTCAGGTTCTGCCCAGGTTCTATTTAGGTTCTGCTCAGGTTCTGTTCAGGTTCTGCTCAGGTTCTGTTCAGGTTCTGTTCAGATTCGGTTCAGGTTCTGCTTAGGTTCTATTTAGGTTCTGCTCAGGTTCTGTTCAGGTTCTGTTCAGATTCGGTTCAGGTTCTGCTCAGGTTCTGTTCAGGTTCTGTTCAGGTTCTGCCCAGGTTCTATTTAGGTTCTGCTCAGGTTCTGTTCAGGTTCTTTTCAGGTTCTGCCCAGGTTCTATTTAGGTTCTGCTCAGGTTCTGTTCAGGTTCTGCTCAGGTTCTGTTCAGGTTCTGTTCAGATTCGGTTCAGGTTCTGCTTAGGTTCTATTTAGGTTCTGCTCAGGTTCTGTTCAGGTTCTGCTCAGGTTCTGCTCAGGTTCTGCTCAGGTTCTGTTCAGGTTCTGTTCAGGTTCTGCTCAGGTTCTATTTAGGTTCTGTTCAGGTTCTGTTCAGGTTCTGCTCAGGTTCTGCTCAGGTTCTGTTCAGGTTCTGTTCAGGTTCTGCTCAGGTTCTATTTAGGTTCTGTTCAGGTTCTGTTCAGGTTCTGCTCAGGTTCTGTTCAGGTTCTGTTCAGATTCGGTTCAGGTTCTGCTTAGGTTCTATTTAGGTTCTGCTCAGGTTCTGTTCAGGTTCTGCTCAGGTTCTGCTCAGGTTCTGTTCAGGTTCTGTTCAGGTTCTGCTCAGGTTCTGCCCAGGTTCTGATCAGGTCCGGTTGGCAGCGTCTCTCCCAGGAGAACAGGAGCAGTTCAGCTGCAGTTAGAGGACGAATGAAAACCCTCAGAGTTCTGGAAGGTTCTGTTCAGGTTCTGTTCAGGTTCTGTTCAGGTTCTGCTCAGGTTCTGCTCTGGTTCTGCTCAGGTTCTGTTCAGGTCCGGTTGGCAGCGTCTCTCCCAGGAGAACAGGAGCAGTTCAGCTGCAGTTAGAGGACGAATGAAAACCCTCAGAGTTCTGGAAGGTTCTGTTCAGGTTCTGCTCAGGTTCTGCTCAGGTTCTGTTCAGGTTCTATTCAGGTTCTGTTCAGGTTCTGTTCAGGTTCTGTTCAGGTTCTGTTCAGGTTCTGCCGGCAGCGTCTCTCCCAGGAGAACAGGAGCAGTTCAGCTGCAGTTAGAGGACGAATGAAAACCCTCAGAGTTCTGGAAGGTTCTGCATCATGTGATCCCAGATCTCTGAGGCTGTCAGAAGGTTCTGGTTCTGAGCGGGCCGTTACTATGACCTCTGACCTCTGACCTGGACCAGCAGCAGCAGTGGAGCCGTGTTCTGCTGTGAGAACATGGATCCTGTTACTAAAGGAAACCATCAGGCGGTTCTGAGGCTTTGGGCCCGGTTCTGCGTCTGGCTCTGGGCTTCAGAACCAGGAGCCTCCCAGAACCTCCTACAGTAGCAGCGGTTCTGATCCAGTAACCGGCCCCTGGGCTGCGGCGCCGTCCTGCTGGCGCTCAGTGAGGTGAGGACGTGTTGGAATGTTCTAATGAGCCTCCTGGAATCCGACACCTGGCCCCGCCCCCTCCTGCTGGGGCCGGTTCCTGCTGCCTGTGACCTCATTAGCCGCTCCGCTGCGTGGCGCGGCGTGGCGTGGCGTCCCTCAGGGTTCTGCTGATGGCGTTCTCAGGTTGCAGTGAAAGCAGCAGATTAGATCTCAGCTCCACGTCTCAGCAGGACGGACAGCGTCTACCACACAGATCCTCTGCTCTGATTGGTCCTCTGATAGGAGCCTCTGCTCTGATTGGCCCTCTGATAGGAGCCTCTGCTCTGATTGGCCCTCTGATAGGAGCCTCTGCTCTGATTGGTCCTCTGATAGGAGCCTCTGCTTGGATTGGCTCTCTGATAGGAGCCTCTGCTCTGATTGGTCCTGTGATAGGAGCCTCTGCTCTGATTGGCCCTCTGATAGGAGCCTCTGCTCTGATTGGCCCTCTGATAGGAGCCTCTGCTCTGATTGGCCCTCTGATAGGAGCCTCTCCTCTGATTGGTCCTCTGATAGGGGCCTCTCCTCTGATTGGCCCTCTGATAGGAGCCTCTGCTCTGATTGGCCCTCTGATAGGAGCCTCTGCTCTGATTGGCCCTCTGATAGGAGCCTCTGCTCTGATTGGTCCTCTGATAGGAGCCTCTGCTCTGATTGGCCCTCTGATAGGAGCCTCTGCTCTGATTGGCCCTCTGATAGGAGCCTCTGCTCTGATTGGTCCTCTGATAGGAGCCTCTGCTCTGATTGGTCCTCTGATAGGAGCCTCTGCTCTGATTGGCCCTCTGATAGGAGCCTCTGCTCTGATTGGCCCTCTGATAGGAGCCTCTGCTCTGATTGGTCCTCTGATAGGAGCCTGTGCTCTGATTGGCTCTCTGATAGGAGCCTGTGCTCTGATTGGCTCTCTGATAGGAGCCTCTGCTCTGATTGGTCCTCTGATAGGAGCCTCTGCTCTGATTGGCCCTCTGATAGGAGCCTCTGCTCTGATTGGTCCTCTGATAGGAGCCTCTGCTCTGATTGGTCCTCTGATAGGAGCCTCTGCTCTGATTGGCCCTCCGATAGGAGCCTCTGCTCTGATTGGCTCTCTGATAGGAGCCTCTGCTCTGATTGGCTCTCTGATAGGAGCCTCTGCTCTGATTGGCCCTCTGATAGGAGCCTCTGCTCTGATTGGTCCTCTGATAGGAGCCTCTGCTCTGATTGGTCCTCTGATAGGAGCCTCTGCTCTGATTGGCCCTCCGATAGGAGCCTCTGCTCTGATTGGCTCTCTGATAGGAGCCTCTGCTCTGATTGGCTCTCTGATAGGAGCCTCTGCTCTGATTGGCTCTCTGATAGGAGCCTCTGCTCTGATTGGCCCTCCGATAGGAGCCTCTGCTCTGATTGGCTCTCTGATAGGAGCCTCTGCTCGGATAGGCTCTCTGATAGGAGCCTCTGCTCTGATTGGCCCTCTGATAGGAGCCTCTGCTCTGATTGGCTCTCTGATAGGAGCCTCTGCTCTGATTGGCCCTCTGATAGGAGCCTCTGCTCTGATTGGTCCTCTGATAGGAGCCTCTGCTCTGATTGGCCCTCTGATAGGAGCCTCTGCTCTGATTGGCCCTCTGATAGGAGCCTCTGCTCTGATTGGCTCTCTGATAGGAGCCTCTGCTCTGATTGGCCCTCTGATAGGAGCCTCTGCTCTGATTGGTCCTCTGATAGGAGCCTCTGCTCTGATTGGTCCTCTGATAGGAGCCTCTGCTCTGATTGGCCCTCTGATAGGAGCCTCTGCTCTGATTGGTCCTCTGATAGGAGCCTCTGCTCTGATTGGTCCTCTGATAGGAGCCTCTGCTCTGATTGGTCCTCTGATAGGAGCCTCTGCTCTGATTGGCTCTCTGATAGGAGCCTCTGCTCTGATTGGCTCTCTGATAGGAGCCTCTGCTCTGATTGGTCCTCTGATAGGAGCCTCTGCTCTGATTGGTCCTCTGATAGGAGCCTCTGCTCTGATTGGCCCTCTGATAGGAGCCTCTGCTCTGATTGGCCCTCCGATAGGAGCCTCTGCTCTGATTGGCTCTCTGATAGGAGCCTCTGCTCTGATTGGTCCTCTGATAGGAGCCTCTGCTCTGATTGGCCCTCTGATAGGAGCCTCTGCTCTGATTGGTCCTCTGATAGGAGCCTCTGCTCTGATTGGCTCTCTGATAGGAGCCTCTGCTCTGATTGGTCCTCTGATAGGAGCCTCTGCTCTGATTGGCCCTCTGATAGGAGCCTCTGCTCGGATTGGCTCTCTGATAGGGGCCTCTGCTCTGATTGGTCCTCTGATAAGAGCCTGTACTGTGATTGGCCCTCTGATAGAGGCCGGTTGTTGACCTGTGACCTCCTGTCCAGGTGAGTTCGGCGAGGTGTGCCGCGGACGGCTGAGGATCCCCGGCAGGAAGGAGAACTACGTGGCCATCAAGACCCTGAAGGGCGGCTACACCGAGAAGCAGAGGCGGGACTTCCTGTCCGAGGCGTCCATCATGGGGCAGTTCCAGCACCCCAACATCATCCACCTGGAGGGCGTGATCACCACTTCCTGTCCCGTCATGATCCTGACGGAGTTCATGGAGAACGGAGCGCTGGACAGCTTCCTGAGGGTGAGACGGGGGGGACACATCCAGGCTGGTCCACCCTGGACCTGTGTGTCCATCTGTCCCTCTGAGTGTCCCTCTGTCCTCCTGCAGATGAATGACGGTCAGTTCACCCCCATCCAGCTGGTGGGGATGCTGCGCGGCATCGCTGCAGGGATGAAGTACCTGTCAGACATGAGCTTCGTTCACAGAGACCTGGCTGCGCGCAACATCCTGGTCAACTCCAACCTGGTCTGTAAGGTGAGGTCCTCTGACGTCCGTCCGTCTGTCCCTCCGTCCATCATGTCCCCTGGATCTGACCCTGCTCCTTTGATCTACCCTCTCAGGTCTCAGACTTCGGTCTCAGCAGGTTCCTGACGGAGAACTCCTCAGATCCGACCTACACCAGCTCTCTGGTGAGTCCACTTTGATTCTATCGGCCACGCTCTTATTTTGAAGGGCATTCCCTTCCTGTCTGCTGACGGTGTTTTCGTCTTTAGGGCGGGAAGATCCCCATCAGATGGACGGCGCCTGAAGCCATCGCCTACAGGTGAGTCATGAACCCAGTCTGATCGTTCTGGTTCTGGAGGAGATGGAAGCTAACTGACTGATTGATGGCAGGAAGTTCACCTCGGCCAGCGACGTCTGGAGTTACGGCATCGTCATGTGGGAAGTGATGTCATACGGAGAGCGGCCGTACTGGGACATGAGCAACCAGGACGTAAGGCGAACCAGTCCTGCATATTAATTTCACTCTGGTACCATCAGAATCAGAACACTGACTGTTAGCCAGGTGCTGTTAGCCAGGTGCTGTTGGCCAGGTGCTGTTAGCTAGTTCTTCTGGCAAAATTTGGTTAGCAAAGTTTTGTTAGCCAAGTTAGGTTAGCGAATTTCGTTTAGTGAGGTTCTGTAATCTAAGTTAATTAGCTAAGTTCTGTTAGCGAGTTTCTGTTAGCAAATTTCAACTAGCGAGTTTCTTTTAGCGAGGTTGTTTTAGCTATTTTGGTTAGCAAGTTTCTGTTAGCAAAGTTCAACTAACAAGGTTCAGTTATCGAGGTTCTGTTCGCTATGTTTAGTTATCGAGGTTCTGTTAGCTATGTTTAGTTAGCGAGGTTCTGTTCGCTATGTTTGGTTAGCGAGGTTCTGTTAGCTATGTTTAGTTATCGAGGTTCTGTTAGCTATGTTTGGTTAGCGAGGTTCTGTTAGCTATGTTTAGTTATCGAGGTTCTGTTAGCTATGTTTGGTTAGCGAGGTTCTGTTCGCTATGTTTAGTTATCGAGGTTCTGTTAGCTATGTTTGGTTAGCGAGGTTCTGTTCGCTATGTTTGGTTAGCGAGGTTCTCTTAGCTATGTTTGGTTAGCGAGGTTCTCTTAGCTATGTTTGGTTAGCGAGGTTCTCTTAGCTATGTCTGGTTAGCAAGGTTCTGTTCGCTATGTTTGGTTATTGAGGTTCTGTTAGCTATGTTTGGTTAGCAAGGTTCTGTTAGCTATGTTTGGTTAGCGAGGTTCTGTTAATTCAATTCAATTCAATTCAGTTTATTTATATAGCGCCAAATTCACAACACATGTCATCTCAAGGCACTTTACAGTTTAACCAGATCATACAGTCAAATTGATACAACGTTTTCTATCTAAGGAAAACCAGTTGATTGCATTGACTCATTGACTCAAATACAATCCCCCACACTAAGCATGCTTGTAGCGACAGTGGAGAGGAAAAACTCCCTTTTAACAGGAAGAAACCTCCAGCAGAACCAGGCTCAGTGTGAGCGGCCATCTGCTGAGGCCCACTGGGGTTCAAGGAGACAGAAGCAGAGAAACAAAAAGCAGCTGTAAAAGGCGGCCCCATCCAGGAAACACACAGCCAGGCAGACGAGCTCCGAGCCAGCTCCCATGTCAGAGGATGAAGAGAGCACATCCAGTTAGTCACAGTCAGAGAAACAGGACTACACTGGAAAACAGGCCAAGCTCCAACATCTAGAAACAAAGGTGTTGATGGCAGCAGCACAGCTGATATTTCTCTCCAGGATGGAGTCACAGCCAAACAGGAACAGACCAGATGAAGCTACTATGAGAAAAAGCAGAGAGAGCAGAACGTTAGAGATTGAACTAACGGATTCTGCAGAGTGGGAGAATAGAGATAGAATGAAGCAGAATGATGAAAAAGGGGTCCCTATGTCCTCCAGCAGTCTAAGCCTATAGCAGCAGAACTATAGAGATAGATCAGGATAACCTGAGCCACTCTAACTAGAAGCTTTATCAAAAAGGAAAGTTTTAAGCCTAGCCTTAAAAGTAGACAGGGTGTCTGCCTCACGGACTAAAACTGGTAGTTGGTTCCACAGGAGAGGAGCCTGAGAACTAAAAGATCTGCCTTGTTAGCTATGTTTGGTTATCGAGGTTCTGTTAGCGATGTTTGGTTATCGAGGTTCTGTTAGCTATGTTTGGTTAGCGAGGTTCTGTTAGCGATGTTTGGTTATCGAGGTTTTGTTAGCTATGTTTGGTTAGCGAGGTTCTGTTCGCTATGTTTGGTTAGCGATGTTCTGTTCGCTATGTTTGGTTAGCGATGTTCTGTTAGCTATGTTTGGTTAGCGATGTTCTGTTAGCTATGTTTGGTTAGTGAGGTTCTGTTAGCTATGTTTGGTTAGCAAGGTTCTGTTCGCTATGTTTGGTTATTGAGGTTCTGTTAGCTATGTTTGGTTAGCGAGGTTCTGTTCGCTATGTTTGGTTAGCAAGGTTCTGTTCGCTATGTTTGGTTAGCAAGGTTCTGTTAGCTATGTTTGGTTAGCAAGGTTCTGTTCGCTAAGTACAGTTAGCGTTGTACGGTTAGCGAGTTAAAGCTGCAAACAGACCCTCAGTCTGTCTCTCTGTGATGTCACTAATCACAGAAACAGGTCTGGTAAACTGGACCGGACCGGTTCTGACCCGGTTCTAACCCCATTCTGACCCTTCAGGTGATCAACGCCATCGAGCAGGACTACCGCCTGCCCCCGCCACCAGAATGCCCCGCCTCCCTGCACGGCCTCATGCTGGACTGCTGGCAGAAGGAGCGGGCCAACCGGCCCCGGTTCTGTGACATCGTGGGGGGACTGGACCGGCTGATCCGGAACCCGCCCTCCCTGAAGGTGACGCTGCCGGAGCTGTCCAGGTGAGGACCGCTAGGGTGGAATGTTGTTCCTGGATCAGAGGACAGAGGGGGCGGAGCCTCACTGACAGATCCCAGGTTCTGGTCCTGGTTCTGTTGGGTTCCTCTGGCTGCTGATCCAGAACCAATGTTGACCTGTTTGGAGGTTCAGAACTTTGGCGCTTGCTAATGCTAACGTGTCTCTGTGTCCCAGTCCGTCCCAGCCCCTGCTGGACCAGCGGGTCCCGCCTCCTCTGTCGGCCTGCGGTTCCGTGTCCGAGTGGCTCCGGGCCATAAAGATGGAGCGCTACGAGCAGAACTTCCTGCAGGCCGGCTTCTCCAGCCTGGACCTGGTCTCCCAGCTCAACACAGAGTAAGGTTCTGCCTCCTGTGCCTGACAGTCAGCGCTCAGGGTCCACCTGCTGACCCCGCCTCTCTCTGTTTCCATAGAGACCTGCTCAGAGTGGGCGTCACCCTGGCAGGACACCAGAAGAAGATCCTCTCCTCCATCCAGACTCTCAGGATACACAAGGCCACGCCCACTCTGCTCTACTGACCAATCACAGCCCTCCGCCTATGCCAAAGCTACAGCCGACCCGACTGACACAGAACCAAAGTTCTGCTCTGAGCAGCAGGGAGTTCAGAACGAACCAGAACCTCAGGAATGGACCATCGGCTCTGGAGACTCCGCCCACCTGCTCTTTACGACCAATCAGAGCCAATCAAGCTTAAACAGAGGACCGTTTTTAACCAATCAGCTCCTCAGGAAGCCTCCAAGCTCCTCCCACCTCCTTCTGATTGGACGTTTTTAGATTGAGGATCTGTGCTCCAAAGACCCGCCCCCTCAATGGATGCTGTGCTCTGATTGGCTGCTTATTTCAGCTTGAGGCCTCTGAACCGCTAACAGAAGCTCTGCAGGTTCTGCTTTCCAGAAGGTTCTGCTCAGGAGGGGAGACCTTCTGGATCCATGTCTCCGTGGTTCTGCTTCCCTGGAGTTTTCTGGACCGGATCCTACGGACCTGAAGTTCTGCCGGTTCTGATGGACCTACAGATGCCTTAAAATGGACCTTTGGTCTGATCTCATGACTGAAGTCAGAACTGTTGACAGGGTTCTGATCCAGGTGCTGCCCCGCCATCTGGACCTGAACCAGGGTGGGAGAACGTTAATGTTTTTGGACCCGTTCAGAACCACCAGAACCAGCTGGACCGCTGCTGGTTTTATTCAAGCACTTTCTACCAGAAGACAGTTCATGGTACCAGGTGGTTCTGATACCAGGTGGTTCCGGTACCAGGTGGTTCCGGTACCAGGTGGTTCTGGTGCCAGGTGGTTCCGGTACCAGGTGGTTCCAGTACCAGGTGGTTCTGGTACCAGGTGGTTCTGGTGCCAGGTGGTTCTGGTGCCAGTCGATCCAGGATGCGGAGCAGCAAAGTTCTGTACCGACCCGTTTGTGTTTTTTATATCAAAATAAACAATCTTCTAAAGATGGTTCTGATGTTTCTGAGTTTGTTCTGTTCTGACCCGGTAGAACCAGAACCAGCACCAGGTTTTGTCCGAGTGCTGATGAACCAGAACCAAAGGTTCCTGAATGAGTTACCCTCCAGAACCAGGCTGGGTTTGGTTCTGACCCGCTCAGCCTGGCAGCAGAACCGACATTGGATCAGAACCCTGCTTCTATCTGTTCCACAGTGACGGTTCTGTGACCCGGTTCTGCTGGTTCTGATCCATTAACACCTGCAGGTAGAGCAGAACCTTTTAGTCCTCTATTCTGGAACCGGTTCTAAGCCTCTGAGGTCCAAACCAGGCTGGTTCTGAAGCCTGAAAATAGCTGCTGACTAATGATCAAAGCCCGGTTCTGACCCATGTGTGATGGTTCTGACCCAGATGGTTCTGACCCAGATGGTTCTGATCCAGATGGTTCTGACCCAGATGGTTCTGACCCAGATGGTTCTGACCCAGATGGTTCTGATCCAGCAGCAATCAGCCCCTCATCATCATCGTGTTCCGTCTCCAGGGAGGAGCTCCAGGGTTCTGTTTGGACCCAGATGGTGACTGATATGGACTCTGGTTCTGATCCAATAAATCTATTTCCTGCTCTGCTGATGAACGCTTCCTGTTAACAGAAGATCCTTCTGGAAGATAATCAGAACCACATGTCGGTTCTGGATGTCAGCGTCTCTGATGGTCCTCCAGACCCGTTGCTAGGTAACCTGAAGGACGTCCTCCAGACATTAAAACTCAACTCTATTCCACTTATTTATGCATAAAAATACCATCTGATAAAAATCCAGTCCACGTTTTCAACACAGCCTTAAGGCTGTTTTATACTTTGAAACCAGGTCCTCTGCGTAGGTGTCGCAGTGAACAAAAAGGCGTCCCCTCCCCCTCCGCAGACGCTCCGCTGCTCCTCTCCCTAATTGCAGCTGACCGCAGACAGGAGGCCGGCTTGTTTTGTTTTTATGACAGAAATTGCTAAAAAACAACTGGTGAAGTTTGACCCGCTAGAAGAGCGAGGTGCGCGAAAACGCTGGGAGCCTTCTTCCACCTGGATCTCCGCCCTTTTTCGCCGTCATGTCCCCCACTTCCTCGCCCCCTGGGCCCGATCAGCCCCACAGCGTGAGCGCAGACCCGCTTCCATTTTAGCAAAATCAAAAATGTCTGCATAAAAATCACTGCGACACACTGCTGTAAGGTAAAAACCAGCCCTTAGTGCAAACAGCTGAGGACATTCCGGGTTCAGTCCGCCTTTTTTTCGCCCCAGCCCACCTGTTCGTGGGGAGTAAAGGATTTCTGGCGGGAAAAATAAAAGTTATGTCATTTGAATTTATCTGAACTACGATAATTCACTCAGTACATTAATGAGGATTTGAAGCAAAGCAGTTTAGTAAATATGATTAAAATATACAGCAGCTGCTTTTAATGATCAATGAGGAGACTGAGTGCAGGATCACAGCAGGTGGCTGTTTTTATTAAGCTCTGCTCATTTATCCCCCTGGTTTAGTCCCAGTTTTAGTCCATGTTTTGCTCACACCAAGCAGTCATCAGCGGTCCAACGGATGTTATCCTGGAAGTTTTACTGGAACCGAGCAGAACTTTTATTTTTTTTTTTATATTTTATTTAGTCAACTGTCAACAACAATACAATGATCACAGGGACAAAGTAAACATGACATTTTTTTTTTTTTTTTATCCCTTCTCCCCTCCTTCCCACTCCCCATCCTGTGGTCCCTTCCTTTACCTTTATTTATTCTGTCCCTACCCCCCCCCACCCACCATCCCCGGCTGCAGTTATCAGTGGGAATCACAATCATAACAAAACCCAGGGACCAAGACAGAGTCAAAAAACATGGACGAGTAAAACAGGCGCGCGAAAAGGTAGGACCGATAAAGACAGAACAGGGATTTTTAAAAACGCACGGGTTACAATCACTATCGCTAGCCAGATTCACAAGGAGCCGCCGGGCCAGGGGGACAGGCAATTACAACAAAGCTGGTTCCTATACTTTTTCCCCGAGCAGAATTTTAAATGAAGAACCTGATTGAAATGGGGCCCTGAGAGACCGCAGCAGAGAAATTCAATTTAAATTCGTTCAGTTTATTTATATAGCGCCAAATTAAAACCCGTCATCTCAAGGCCTTTCCAGTTCAACCAGATCATACAGTAGTTTGATTAAAAAGTTTTCTATCTAAGGAAAACCGCTGATTGAATCGACTATTGACTCTTCAGCAATCCCCCACTAAGCATGTTGTACGACAGTGGAGAGGAAAAACTCCCTTTGAACGGGAAAGAAACCCCCAGCAAAAACCAGGTTCAGTGTGAGCGGGCCCCTGCTGAGGCCCCCTGGGGTTCAAGGAGACAGAAGCAGCATAGAAAAAAAAGAAGATCAAAGGCAACTGCAGCCGCTCCACAGGGGGCCCGTCCAGGGAAAACACAGCCCCCGGCAACGAGCTCCGAGCCGCTCCCATTCAGGGATAGGAGCACATCCAGTTAGTCACGTCAGAGAAACGGGGCTACACTGGAAAACAGGCCAAGCTCCAACATTAAAACAAAGGTGGATGGCAGCGCACAGCTGTATTTCTCTCCAGGATGGAGTCCAGCCAAAACAGGGAAAAGCCCGAGAAGCATTATGAAAAAAAGCAGAGGAGAGAACGTTAGAGATTGAACTAACAATTCTGCAGAGTGGGAAATAGAGATGAATGAAGAGAATGTGAAAAAAAGGGTCCTATTCCCTCCAGATCTAAGCCCATAGCAGCAGAAAAATATAGAGATAATCAGGATAACCGAGCCACTTAACTAAAAAGCTTTATCAAAAAGGAAAAATTTTAAACCAACCTTTAAAATTTCAGGGTGTCTGCCCCACGGATAAAACTGGTAGTTGGTTCCACAGGAGAGGAGCCCATAATAAAAGATCTGCCCCCATTTACTTTTAGGAAAAATTTTAGGAACCACTATAAACCTGCAGATTTAGAGCGAAGTGCTTGTTTGGAAAATAAGGAACAAACAGATCTCTGATATCAGATGGAGCTTTGGGCCCTTTAAGGGTTTTTATGTGAGAAGGAGGATTTTAAAATTTTATTTGGATTTAAAAAGGAAGCCCAAAGAAGAGAAGCCGGATGGAGAGATATGTCTCTCTTTTTCATTTTCATCAGAACTCTGGCTGCGCAATTTTGGGTCAGCTGAAAGGCTTTTAACTACAGTTTGTGGACTTCCTGATAGTAAAGAATTACAATAGTCCAGCCTTGAAGTAACAAATGCATGGACTAGTTTCTCAGCATCAACCCCTGGACAGGAGATTGCTCATTTTTGCAATGTTCCTCAGATGAAAGAAGGAAATTCTAGAAACCTCTTTGATCTGGGATTTAAATGACAGGTCCTGATCAAAAATAACACCAAGATTTTTTACTTTATTATCTGAAATCAGTTTAATCCCATCCAAATGAAGTGACTGACTAATCAGCTTCTTTTTCAGAGACTCTGGTCCAAAGACTATAACTTCTGTTTTGTCTGCATTCAGAAGCAGAAAGTTAAGAGTCATCCAGGTTTTTCTGTCTTCAGACATGCCTGTAATCTATGTAATGGGTTAGCTTCATCTGGATTATAGACAGATATAGCTGGGTATCATCAGCATAACAGTGGAAATTAATCCCATGCTGTCTAATAACTCTACCAATTGGGAGCATGTATAAAGTAAAGAGAATTGGTCCTAGCACTGATCCCTGTGGTACTCCACAGGTAACCTTTGAGCATGTTGAAGATCTATCATTAACATGAACAAACTGAATTCGATCAGATAGATCAGATTTAAACCAGTCTAGAGCTGTTCCTTTAATTCCAACAAAATATTCAAGTCTTTCTAAAAGAATATTCTGATCAACTGGATCAAATGCAGCACTGAGATCCAACAGGACGAGCACAGATACAAGTCCATTATCTGAGGCCATGAGAATATCATTAGTGACTTTCACCAGAGCTGTTTCAGTGCTATGATGAGCTCTAAAGCCAGACTGAAACTCTTCAAAAAGTTCATTATGGTGGAAGTGATCGCACACTTGTTTGGCAACTACTTTCTCAAGAATTTTGGATAAGAAAGGAAGATTGGATATAGGTCTATAATTGACCAAGTCATCTGGGTCAACAGACGGTTTCTTAAGCAGAGGTTTAATTCCAGCAACCTTAAAAGCTTTAGGTACATATCCCTGTAACAGAGATAGATTAATCACATCTAAAATGGAGGAGGAGATCAAAGGGAATACCTCCTTAAATAACCTGGTTGGAACTGGATCTAACATACAAGTTGAAGGCTTAGATGAAGACAATAATTTTGCTAATTCAAAGAGTTCAACTGGATCAAAGCAGTCTAAACCCGGTTCAGATTCCATGACTACCTCAGGTACAATCGCGGATAAAGGAGTGCTTATGATCTTATTTTTAATAAGATCAATCTTATTTATAAAGAATCCCATAAAATCATTGCTGCTAAGAGCAGGTGGAATGGACGGTTCAACAGAGCTATGGCTCTGGGTGAGTTTGGCAACTGTATTAAAAAAGATGAAGAACCTGATTAGAAATGTGGACCTGATGAGACCGACAGCAGAGAAGATGAAGAAGCGTAGCCTAGAGGAAGGAATCATCTGCATAAAGATCTGAGATCCACAATGTTTGACTTCACCAGCTGCTGAGGAACATGGAGGCCTGTCTGCTGAAGACCTGAAGGAACAGCTTTATTGGTTCTGGTTCTGGTTCTGTTCTTTTATTGTTCTGGTTCTGTTCTGGTTCTGGTTCTGTTTCTGTCCTGGTTCTGGTTCTGTTCTGGTTCTGGTTCTGATTCTGTTCTGTCCTGGCAGCAGGCGTCCAGCTGCAGGTGTTCCACCTTAACCTCCACTAACTCTCTGTGATGTGGGGTCAGAGGTCAGCAGCACTGAGGGTAACCGGGGGCAACCAGAGTCTGAATAAACATCCTCCTTTCCTCTGCTGGACGGTTCTGGAGGT